TGAGGTGGGAGTTCACTATATGCATGAAAGGCCTTGCATGGTTCCAGTGGGCAGAGTAAGTTTTACAATGTTTTTTTGAGTTAAATGGAATAGAATTGGAGAAAAAGAGACCTTGATGAGGCCCCTCAGAGATTCAGAGACAGAGTACCCAGATAAACTCTAGAGCTGATGAGAAACACCCTGGGTCATGGAGGTAGCACTTCACAAAGCAATCAAAGGTAAAATAGCCCATATACTTTGGTAAAGAAGAGAAACTGCAATGGTCAATTTCATGTGTTAACTTGACTGGATTAAGGGATACCTAGACGCTGGTGTCTAACTCCATTTTGTGACTATAAAGGAATACCTGAGGTGGGGCAATTTATAAAGAAAAGCGGTTTATTTTGCCCTGGTTCTGCTGGCTGGAAGACTGGGCATCTGGTGAGGGCCTCAGGATGCTTCCACTCAGGGCAGAGAGCAAAGGGGAGCTGGCATGTATAGAGATTACACAGTGAGAGAGGAAGCAAAAGACAGGGCTGGGAGGTGCCAGGCTTGCTTTTAAACAACCAGTTCTCAGGGAACTAATCTATTCATGATAGATCCACCTCCATGACTAAAAACCTCCCACCAGGCCCCACTTCGAACACTGAGGATCAAATATCAACCTGAGATTTGGGAAGGTCAAACACCCAAAGTCTAGCAGCTAGTAAAGCATTGTTTTTGGGTGTGTCTGTGAGGGTGTTTCCAGAGGAGATTGGCATGCTATTTGGTAAACTGAGTGGGGAAGGTCTGCCCTCAGTGTGGATGGGCACCATCCAATCAGCTGGGAACCTGGAGAGAACAAAAGGCAGAGGAAATTCTAATTCTCTCTCTCTCAGAGCTGGGACATCCTTCCTCTCCTGTCCTTGGACAACAGATCTCCAGGGTCTCTGGCCTTTGGACTCTGGGACTTGCACTGGCAGCCTCCTGAGTTCTCAGGCCTTCAGCCTTGGAATGAGAGTTATATCATCAGCTTCTCTGGCCTTCAAACTTGTACTGAGCCATGCTACTGGCATCTCAGCATTTCTAACTTGCAGGAAAGCCTGCCATGGGACTCTTCAGCCTCCATAATTGTGTGAGCCATTGCCTTAATTAGTCTTCTCTCCTATCTATCTATCTATCTATCTATCTATCTATCTATCTATCTATCATCTACCTACCTACCTACCTACCCATTCATCCATTCTTTCCCATTGGTTCTGTCTCTCTAGAGAATGCTGACCAATACAGATTTCTTCCCTCATTTTCCTTAATAACTTCATTTCTCAAGTCCTCTCAGCCACTGGATCCCACAAAACTCTGTAGAGGTTTTGCCACCGGGACTAAGGTAACTAAGCTCACATGACTTCCCTCTCAGCCCTGCCCCCAGCCTAGGTACTCACCATTTATTACAGAGATTAACTTGATTCATGCTTTGTTTCACTTGCTATGTTTTCTCCCAATTTTTTTGTCCCTGCTTAGGTGTTTCTGTTTCTTGCATGGGCAAGACTTGAAATTTAAAAGCCAGAAAGGGGTCCCTTTCGGCTTCCTCCCCTGCTGTCACTCTGAGGCAATCAGCACAGGACAGCTTAGCTAAATGTATAGGAGGAGAAATAAAGGAAATAAGAAATGCCAAACTATGAGTGAGTGTTTCTAAACATTATCCTACTTTATCCTCTCTACCTTGTACTTTTTTCCTTTTTTTTTTAAAAAAATATATTTTTATTGAACTTTAGGTTCTGGGGTACACGTGCAGAACATGCAGAATTGTTGCATAATTACATACAAGCCAATGTGGTTTGTTGCCTCCATCCCTGTCACCTATAACTGTCATTTCTCCCCATGTTATCCTTCCCTAACTCCTTACCCCTGACTGTCCCTCCCCTAGTCCCCCACAACAGACCCCAGTGTGTGATGTTCACCTCCCTGTGTCCATGTATTCTCACTGTTCAACACCCACCTATGAATGAGAACATGTGGTGTTTGATTTTCTTTTCTTGTGTCAGTTTGCTGAGAATGATGGTTTCCAGGTTCATCCATGTCCCTACAAAGGACACGAACTCATCGTTTTTTTATGGCTGCATAGTATTCCATGGTGTATATGTGCCACATTTTCCTTGTCCAGTCTATCCTTGATGGGCATTTGGGTTGGTTCCAGGTCTTTGCTATTGTAAACAGTGCTGCAGTGAACATACGTGTGCATGTGTCTTTATAACAGAATGATTTATAATCCTTTGGATATATACCCAGTAATGGGATTGCTGGATCAAATGGAATTTCTGTTTCTAGGTCCTAGAGGAATCGCCACACTATCTTCCACAATGGTTGAACTAATTTACACTCCCACCAACAGCGTAAAAATGTTCCTATTTCTCCACATCTTCTCCAGCATCTGTTGCCTCCAGAATTTTTAATGATTGCCATTCTAACTGGTGTGGGATGGTATTTCAGTGTGATTTTGATTTGCATTTCTCTAATGACCAGTGATGATGGGCATTTTTTCATATGTTTGTTGGCCTCATATATGTCTTCTTTTGAAAAGTGTCTGTTCATATCCTTTTTCTCTAATGATCAGTGATGATGGGCATTTTTTCATATGTTTGTTGGCCTCATATATGTCTTCTTTTGAAAAGTGTCTGTTCATATCCTTCACCCACTTTTGAATGGGGTTTTTTTTTTTTTCTTGTAAATCTGTTTTAGTTCTTTGTAGATTCTGGATATTAGCCCTTTGTCAGATGGGTAGATTGCAAAAATTATTTTCCATGCTGTTGGCTGCCAATTCACTCTAATGACTGTTTCTTTTGCTGTGCAGAAGCTCTTAAGTTTAATCAGATCCCATTTGTCTGTTTTGGCTTTTGTTACCTCATACTTTTAAAACATCATCTCATTTGACCTTCACACCCCAAGGTAAGAATGCAAAGTCCTAATATCTTTTACAAAAGAAAAATCAGGCAGGAGAGCCTGCATGACTTTCGCAAGATGCCATGATAAAGGGCAGGAGCAGGGCACACCTGGATTTCTTGATTCCCAGCCCCCAGCAGTCCTGACCTGCTGGCTGAAGAATGATTTGTCTGCAGCAGGAATGAAAAGAATATCAAGAATACATCTATGTTGCCCTTGAAGTCGCTGGATAGTCCATTAGTTTGGCATATTTTGCAGCCACCACAATGGACCTTTTCTCTACAGACTGCTGGGGTGACCATGTCACAATCCAGATTGGCAATTAAAATTGCCACAATAATATGACAATAGTCAGGTACTTTTGGGTCTTTAGATATTGCTTAAATTTCCCAAAAAAGATTGCAAACTGAAAGGACTGGAAAATCCAGCACCTATGCTGTTAGTCTTCTCTTGACAGGCTAGTGGTATTACATCCATAACAAAAGGGAGAAGGAAGCCTGGCCTTTCTTGGTGGCAAGAATGTCTTATCCTATGGACCTACTCACTGAGAAGGTCCTTTAACAAATAGCTCCAAATAACATCTCTTCCTTCCTTCCTTCCTTCCTTCCTTCCTTCCTTCCTTCCTTCCTTCCTTCCTTCCTTCCTTCCTTCCATCATTCAACATTTAGGTCTGCTGAAACCCTGTGAGTACATGATCCAAAATCCAAGTCAGCAGCTTATGTATGCAGTCTCGCAAAAACAGCACCAAGGGGCTCTCCCGTGGAGAAAAAGCCCCCTCTCCCCCTTTACCATTGCTACAAAGCAAATGATTGATTCTGAACATTTTTTTTCCAAGAACAAAATATTTTACACTTTTCCAAACTCTCCAGCCATCTTGGTTTACTGAAATACACTGTCTTCACCCTAAGGAAAGCTCCTAAAATTTGTGCAAGTTAGTCAAGTAATTGCTAAGTGCTCACTGTGTGCAGAATGTAGCTCTGAGGAGCTATGGGAAATGCTACTACACACAATTAAGAAAGACATGCCATAGTCCTCTGACCTCTTTTCTCAGAACTGTGTTCTGCCTTGTAGGTTGTGGTGGTGTATCACCAACAACCACACTAATAGCTTTTAAAGTTTATAACCTAGCTCTGTTCCCCTCATTTTCTTCATTAATTTATAAAAATTGTATATTATTCATACAGATTCATTTTGTGTTAGTTAGCTTCAAAAAATGTCTCTAAGTTCTCAATCACGAATCAAAAATTATATATATATATATATTTCTTTTTTTTAACTTTTAAGTTCAGGGGTACAAGTGCAGGTTTGTTATAGAGGTAAACTTGTGTCATGGGGGTTTGTTATACAGATTATTTTTCACCCAGGTATTAAGCCTAGTACGCATTTGTTACAAAAATCTTATATTTTTACTATTTTTTTTCTTATTGAAACAAAGTTTCTCATATATTCCTTATTGAGCTAATAGGTTTTCTGTGCTTATGGATTCAGTTAGTATAGTAATAAGTGTTTTAAGTGCTTTAAAGAAAATGACACCATGGGCTACACTACACCACTGCATCTGGGTAATGGCACAACTTCTGTCAATCAAGAGAAGTCAGGAACTTACTAAAACTTATGTCTCAAGGAGGCTTTCTATCTAGTTAAATATGCCAATTTAACATAGATAAATAAAACAGCATTTATCTGAGACACTCTAATCCTGAATTTAAGAGCACACTCAAATGGTTCAAACTTTAATTCATTCATAACAGGTAGGACCAGAGCACTTTCCTGCTTAAGTTAAAATTTCAGAAGCATATATGTATGGATGTGGTCTACCATAGAAATGGCATTTCATTGAAAACAGTACCCATCTTCTAGAAGTAAAACACTAAAATAATCAACTATGAGAATATAGGTGTGTGTTCCCTTCTCTCCTGGATTTAAAGGTTGATAACTATATTTCTAAGAACCAGCATTGTGGCTTCTAGGGCTGACATGAGGATGTGGAAGGAGATATGTGAAGGGATAATTTCCTGCTAATAAGGTTTTCTAGAGTGGAGAATGTGATCAATTACAAAGAATAAACACATTACTATAAAATACAAAGGAGAAAACCTTACCCGAATCCAGAAAGTAAGCGACAGAAGAGAAAGAAGCCATAACCTTGGACAAATGAAGAAAGGAAGGCAAAGAATCCGTTGACAGACATGCAAATCAGAAGAGACTGTTTCCTTCCCACTTTGTCTGCCAGTCCTCCCCAGAAGAACGCCCCCACCATCATCCCGAGGTATACTATGCTGCCTGCAACACACAGAAAACAAAGAAACACATCAGAGATTGGGAGTCAATGACGCATGTAACAGCAAATGAACAAGGAGGAAAATACATTCAGCGTTTTGCATGGGAAAAATTTCCTTTAAAAATATCACCTTCAGGACACAGTAATCCACTTTCAAGTTGAAGAGTAAGCTCTGTGGGCTACCATCAGCCATGACCAATTGCATGGGCTGATGAGAAGTCATTTCCTTTACCTTGGCATGTACAAGAAGACCAAATGGTCACGTTCCAGTCCATTTTTGTGGGGATGAGTACACAGCAGACAGGCATGAGAAATCGCCATAGAGAGCCATCCTTGCATGTGACCCACAGTTAAATTACCTTTGGTCCAAATGCCCAGCCTAGCGCCATGACAGGGCCAAGATGGGAGACCAAGTGAAGGGCTCCCAGGCCACAGTGGATCCTCCAGACTGCTTCAAATCTCTGCCTATAGCCAATGACCTGGGCCAATGCCAGACTCTCAAGACCCCTCTAGAGGACTCCATGGTTCTTTCTCCATGGTCCCTCCTAGAAGCTTTTGCTTTTATAGAAGTTAGGAAAGGTGAGTTTAGAGATTATATGAGTTAATTTTAAAATAGTTTCTAACTTTGCCCATAAAAGAAGACTTTCTTGGAGTCAGTGGGTAAAAGGAAAGAAAAGGGCTTTAGTATGATGGGAAATAATACATTTATCATGGTTGGCTTTGGTACCTAAGGGAAACAAATGGAAAATCCAGAGCCAGATGGATATTCCCCTTTTCTTGATATATTATATACTTGAATTTTCTAATACACTTTCTTCTAAAAGAAACAGACCTTCACCAATGATGGTTAATAATTTTTCACCTGAATAAACCATGTGGTCATATTTTATCTGAGGAAAAAAGGAAAAATGAAAAGAATAAAAAGAAAAACAAAAAAATAGAAAAGCAGACATGCCGCAGGCCCTGTCCAGAATCTTTCTCAGGATGAAATAATATTCCATGTGGCAAATGTTAGTTCAAGAGGGTTTGTACCAGGGCGTGAAATGTCTAGGGGAGATGGCGTAAATAACAAATGAAGGTTTCTTATATCTCGAAGTGGCACTAAGGAAACTGCTACTTCTGTTTCCATTTCTACTTTTCCCAATGTTTCATCCAAGAATCATTTTCAAAGACACATTCAAGATGTAGCATTTAAGTAAAAATGTAAAAAAAAACCTCATTAGTTTATTTTTTGCTTTAGATTAGTTTGGGAACTTTCCTAAACATTTACCCTAAAATTAGCTTGGTAAACACACAGTTAATAAGGCAATATGGAAAAAACTCAGCAAGGTTTCATGAACCTCACATTAATAATGCAGGGATACTGTTTTGCAGATAGCTGAGTACACTCAGCTACAATGAATGGTGGATGTTGTGAGCAATTGTAAAAGAAGACAAAATAAAAGCTGTCTTTATTTAGACTGGGGTACTACAGAGAATGGGGTGGTCAACGTTTGCTTGGGTGTGGAGGGTAAATTTTTCTCTGTACTATGGTGCTGACTATGCACAGATCATCCTTCTCAATAGAGATTACTTACATCATGAGACCCAGTGCATGTCCAGGAGACAATTTAGAGAATGTATCGGTGCAGCGTGAGGGATTCCAAAAGCAGAAGGATTCACCCAGGGAAATGCCTATGTAGCAGATCTCTTATTTATAGCTTAAGAGGCTGAAGTTTGCCACTCATGCCTCTCAGAAGATAACCACTAGCTAAGCTTCTTTATAAGAATATCTGTGTATTTTTAAATGCCTACAAATCTGAAAGTGAGCTTTTACAGATCAGGAGTGGACTGTGGCTGCTGTGATCTAAAGAATTGGGGCCTTTCTTAAAGCTCCAGCCCTGGGAACAAAGCCTCCCCCATCCCCTTCTCCTTACATCCTTACATCCTTCAGAACCACCCCGCTCCCTGTCCTCTTAGCCCCAGAGCCCTGTGGTAAGCCACCATGATGGCAACAGTAAACTAAGACCTTGCGTGGTCCACCTGAATTATTTGACTGCAGAAAGCATGGGCAACACAGAGACGAGCTGTCTGCATTCAATCGATAACCACGGATTATCTTTTAATGGTAACAGTAAACAGCCCCTGCTACTGCTTTCACTGAGTGAGCATCTGTTTGTGCCAGGCACTCTTTGAGGAGCATTCCATATGTTAGTTTACTTAATCCTTACCACAGTCCTGAAAAGTGATGATTATTAACCCATTTTACAGATGAGGAAACTGAGGCTCAGAAAGATTATTCAACTTGATCTAACAGATACTAAGTGGCTAGCCAGGGTTGTGAAATGATGATTCTCTGACTAAAGCCTGGAGGTCTTTCTCAGGGCTGATATTCCATTGCACCAGGCTCAATTGCCCTGGCCCCATTCACTGGGAAATCCTGGACTTGATCCAGCAACTAAAGGGTTAAAACCTGATGATACAGGGTAATGCTTGGAGCTATAAATATGTTATTTTGATTCCCTGGCTATCCTTGTTATTAATTATTTTAAATATTGCCACTGTTCTTTCTGCCAAGCTCAACTTGGGAACCCCTGTTATGTGCAAACCAGGAACCAGGTGATGTGAAGCAAGGTCTTTAGCTGGGTGTTAGTTTCTGCTTGAGCTCAACCCTGTTGTGTTTAAAGAAAGAAAATCTGAGATCCTGGGGCAATTCAGGTTAACCAAGATCCCTACCGCTCCCTAGACTATCACCATCCACTGCTTTCTGCATTCTTCCTACCACCCTGTCCCTGAAGGCATTTGAACTTTCAGACTCATGAGAGGGTAGGATTTATCGTCTGGGGAAAGTGGCTCATCAAAACTGAGGCAGTGAAACATCCATGGCCTCCTGGGATCATCTGATCAGGACAGAACCAGGCAGAAATGTAAACTCACGTACCTGTGTTCCAAGTCATTTATTCCTACTCTGTCAGGATGGCTTAAGGAGTTCATAATTCAGAGAAGGACACAGAGAGACACAAAACAAAATGAGCTCAAGCCTTGCTATGTTGTGTGCACCCCAACAGCAATATAAATGGGAGCAGAGGGGCTGGAGGTGGCCACTCATTCTCATGTGGTCTCTGGGAAGATTTCACTATCAAGAAAACATCAGTGGGGAATCCGAAGGGTAAGAAAGATTTCAAGGTGGTAGTAAATTCCTCCCAGACTGACATGGTTAGCATAAAAAATGTCCCATCAAACTGTATATTTAATTGCACTCTGTTTAAATATATTTTCAAGATCTAAGGGTAGTTATCTTTTGTGACTACACTTAATTTGTATTGAAAACTGAACTGTTCCATTGGGCATACTATGGAAAGAATTAATCCAACCCAATAGCTTATTTGAGATAACCACTGCACAATTAGAATGTTCAATTGTGGATTGTGTGATCTAATTAAAGCCAAACCTTTGAATGTTGGCAAAGGCATCAGGTGAGTAATTGTAATCACTCTGGGATTGTCAGAATATAAACTGTATTTCCTTCCCTGTTTGCATTCACTTTTCCTATTTAGCTTCACAGTGTTATAAAACTGGGAGTCCTTGAAAACTCAGAGCAGAGATCATGTTTTGGACAATCGCCAGCCTTCTCTGCTGTCTGCGCCTTGAGATGCTGCAGACGGGTAGACTTAAAAGATATCTTCATCCAAAGCCTTTCATTTGACAAGTGAGAAAACCGAGGTTGTCAGAAGCCAGAACTTTTAGATCCTCACTTCTCAAAGTATGATCCCTCAACCAGTGACACCAGTCACCCATCCCCTGCCCCAGGGAGTTTACTGGAAATGTAGACTCTCAGGCTCCACTCCAAATGCACTGACTCAAAGTCTGCATTTGAACAAGACCCCCAAGCGATCTGTGTCCATCTTAGAATCTGAGAGTGCTTTCCAATAAAACAATCTTTGTAATACATTTTAAACTTAAAGTTTGTATTTATTTAATGTATGTTTGAGGGGAGGAGATCAAGGCTACAGAATCTTTTATCTCCAAAGATGTGAAACAGCAAGACCTGCTAGATGAGCTGGAGCTCTCAAAAGGGCAAGCAGGAGCTGTGGACTTAGAAGCTGTCACCTCCCCAGGACCTGCCTTCCTCAGAACTAGAGACAGACCTTCCACACAATTCCAGGACAGCAATGTTAAATGAGGCCAGGCTGTGATTTCTGTATCCTTTCATGAATTTAATGAAGACTTTAATTCAGCTGGACTTTGAGGAGGTTGAACCTGACCTGAGAAATAAACTCAACCTACTCTTCCTACCTCAGTTCTGGTGAAGGCCATTCCTGGCCAGTCCAGCCTGTTAGTCTTTCAGAAGATGACAAAAAGACCTCAAGTATGACTTCCTCATTAAGTTATTTTCTGACATAAAAGCTGGTTTCATTTTATTTAATCATACCCTCATTTCCCCTGATAAATATCACATTTACATTTCTGTCTCTTTGCTAAGCTGCTTTTGATTCTTTCTGACAATCCCTAAGGGGACATGTCTTTCCCCCCAACACCATTTAAACCATATTCTAATAAAACAGAACAGTTTTAGGAAATGCTATGTAGTGTTTTTCTCATTGCAACTTTTAGCCCATCAGTTTTAAAAAATTGTTTTAAGCACTTCAGTTATCCATGGCTAATGCATTACTTTCGAATTCCTTGCACCATTTATTTATAAACTGATTTTCAATGAAAAACATTCTGTATTGGTATTCTGAACTGATTGATGATAAGGTTTGGGTCTGTGTTCCTGCCCAAATCTCATGTCAAATTGTAATTCGCAATGTTGGAGGTGGGGCCCAGGAGGTGATTACGTCATGGGTGTAGAGTTCCCTTTCACTTTTCTTGTGATAGTGAATGAGTTCTCATAAGATCTGGTTATTTATAAGTGTGTAGCACCTTCCTCTTGTCTCTCTTCTTTCTGTTCCAGGCATGTAAGACAGGCCTGCTTCCCCTTCTTTCTCCTCCTTCTGTTCCAGACATATAAGACATGCCTGGT